AAAAAAAAAAAAGTAAAAGAAATAAAACAGAAAAATCTAAAGCTTGGTTAAATGTTAAAAATAAAATAAAAATAGACAGGGAATAATTACGATAAAATAAATAAAAGAAGAAAATAGACAGAAACATACCAATATCTAGCGGGCCTGAACACAAGGTGTGTGTCAGATGGGAGGGGGATTGGGACTGTCTGTGTGGTGTGGGTCACATATCACATTACAACTAAGTTGGCGTCTGAACCCCCAAAGCGGACACTTGCTGTTTGTGTTAGAAAAAATAAAAGTGTACAAGTGGTGACGACAACGACAGTCAAATACAATGCATTATGCATACATATTATATACATATAGAGAGAGAAATGAGAAAGAGTAACGCGCAAGATGCGCAGGTTAAGGGGAAAAATTCTGAGGAATGTTTCCTTCCTTCCTTCCTTCTGTATCAAGTCCCAGCCACCGTCCTCATTGGTCCACCGTTAATCACGTCCTCTGCCTACCGTGTGATACAAGAAGAGAACTAATTTGGATATGCATTATCATATATATTGACTTTTTTGCTTTTTTAAAATTCAAAATGAAATTTAGAACTTTTATTTATTTTTAAGGAATTCAAACTTTTCATTTTTCAGAAAACAAAAATAAAAGCAATAAAGATTTTTTATTTTTTTTATGTAAATTATATTAATAATTTATTTAGAAGCAAAAAATCCTTTAATATATTTTCCTCATTAGATCGTTTTATAATAATGTTTGGTTGAAAGCTGATAAAAGATTAAGAGATGAGGGATAGAGGAAACCTTTTTTTTGTTTGGTTGGAGGGAAGGAATAAAGTAGGAGGACAAAACAATCCATGTTTTTAGAATTTTTTCATCCATGCAAAATTGGGTGAAAAAAAAATTAAAAAAAATAAAAAAAAGCAAAAAAAAAGGGTTATTCCTTCCATCCTATCCATTTAACCAAACAAAAATGAAAGAACCAGCTTCTCTATTTTAGAAATGCTTTATTCATTCCTCTTTCTCCCTCTTTGGGGGCTCGAGGCTTAGGGGACTTAGGCGGGCGCCTAAGGCTCCAACCAATAAAATAGTCTCAAAATATTATAGTTCCCTTATATAAGTTATATTGTAATTGTTTCCTAACATTATTAAATACTAATTCCAAAGAATTTATCTCCTAAAATTTTTTTTTTTTCTCTCTCCTCATCATCATTCATGCTTTTTAATTAAACTTTAACCAAGTTTATCTCCTAAAATAACTCATTTTTTCTCTATATTTCTCTTTCTCTTCCTCATTCACTTGTTTAGTAATCCCTAACCAATACAGACACTTAATATGGGCCCAAATATTTATATTCTTAAATATATATTTTTCTTTCGGTATCTTGTACACTTTTTTTTACACGCGTTTTTTTTACATCAGCACTATATATATATTTTCAGTAAGTTGCATCGTAGTAAATATTAAATATGTTAGTCGTTGTATGGGGAAGTGAAAAAATTTCCATATTCTCTTTTTATAGTTTTTATTTTATTTATTTCTTATTCCTCACATTCATTCTTTCCTCTTTAGGCAAACTCAAAAGTTACAAGCCATCTCTCTCTTCAGTTCTCTCTCATTATAACTTATACAATTTTATTTCTTTTCAACTCAATATTCATTAGTCTCAATTTGAACTTACTTTTCTTGTATTGAAGAATTTGCAGAGCAGGATTGAATTAGGACTTTCTAAATCGGGTTATGTTGTTCTTTTTCTTTAATTATTTTTTAGTTTTACTCACTTTTGTTATTATAAATTTGTATATATCTATATTTTACATATATTTGTTTGTGAGTTGTGACTATTTTTACCTATATTGTACTGTTAAATATGTCTGTTAGAAAGTATGAATTCGGATTTGAAAAACTTAAATGAGAGAGAGAGAAGAATAGATAAACTAATTCAATCTCAAAAGAGAGGTATTGATAAATTTGTTACAACTAATTATCAAAACCTAATAAAAAAATTAATAAAATCATATTTACGATCAACTATGTCACAAGAAAGATTAAATGGATTAGTTATATTGTCTCTTGAAAAAGAGATATTTTAACCACACTTGATATCAAAAAGCAAGAAGGATGATTTTTAATTAATTATTATTTAATACTTAATATATTACTTATTATGATATGAAAAAGTCACTTTTTATTTTTCGCGTAAGGTCTCAAGTTACATTGAGCCGCCCATCCTCTTTCATCCATTTTTTCATTCCTTTAACGGAATAAATATAAACATTTATTTTGTGGTACTTATGTGAGAACTACAAAGCATCGGCACGTGACTAAGGGTGTCGTGGCGATATTGAACACTCACTCGGACATGTGGATACAGCTCATGATTAGATGTGTCCTAAAATTTATATATATATTTATATTGTTTGGATACGGCAAGGACATGTTTTTGACTCTTTCTAGACACGGCGTAGTGGTTTCTTAATTGCTTTTTTTTTTTTTTCTTTCTCAAATAATGGAATTCGATGCAATTTTAAATATGTTATGGACTAATTAAAAATAATAATATAAAATTTAAAGAAAAATAAAAAACAAACTTACTTTTTCCCTCCCCGATAGGGACACACACCCCATAAGGAATTGTTTGCACTTAAGATAGGTCGAACCTTATACTTCATGATATGCACCTAGGCAAGTGACTTACCTACTTGAGCCAACTCATTGAGATTAAAATAACAAACATTTAACTATAAACTCTAAATTAGTGATTTCAATAATGGTTATAGGTGTAAAATGAGTATACAATATTATACATGTATATGTATATATAATAATATATTATTCCTTCTGTTTCGAAAAAATATACTCATATTTTTTTTTGGACTGTTCCAAAATGATTGTTCACTTTTGTTTTTCAAAAAATATGTTTCACATATTTACATATATTCTTGCGGTTTAAAATTTAAAAAAAAAAAAAAAAAATTGTTTAGGTGGGAGAAAGGACTAAATACATTAAAAATATATAAGTACTATAATGACTCTATTAATGGGATTTTATTATATTGTGAGCCATAGGAGGTCACCTTAATTGAGGTTGAGCCGCCTTTGACCACATGATTTTGACAGACTTGCTGTGTGTGTATATTTTTTTGACAAATAACTCCCGCAATGACAGGAGAAGCCTATACATATATATACAGTGTATTTGTGTTCCGCATGGAATCCATTTTAATTTGATTGGCTTTTATATTTAATTTTAATAAATTTCTTTCCATAAATAAAGAAAGATAAATCACTTTAATAAAAACAAAATGGAATAGAAATCTCATTAATTACCAATTTTTGCCTTTCTTTCTTTTTTTTAACCGTGATTGATTTCATACATTAAATGTAATAAGAGAAACTCATTTTTCTTAATTATCCTGTTACTTGAGCAAGACTTATGATCCTTGGTGGGTCAAACTTGACTTTAATGGCGATTAACTCATGCACTCAATTTTGTCATTACGAACTATTGATCTTTCATTTTTGAAACTAGAAGACATATAACCATATTTTTTGAAACTTGTTGATGCATTTAAACTCAGTTTGATAAGTTATAACTATAAAACACGGGAGACAATATTAATACTCCGAAAAAAAAGAAATGACAAATTAGTGGTGACAATTCTGAAAAAATAGGAATGAAAACGTTATAAAAGAATGATGTATAAATTATTATATTATATATCAAAAATGTTTTTGTTTATTTTATCAATATTATCATGAATGAAATATTTATTAATATTTTGGAGCTTGTTTGAACAAATATTATGTTGTTGTTTTCATTTTTTAAAATTTTATATTATTATTCTACGGAGTCCAGCCGAAAAAATAATAATACAAATTACAAAACACTTTTAGTCACATTCGAATGTCCAAATTGAAAAAGTGTAAGTACTTCCTAACCCTTTTTTTTTTCCCCTTTTCCTACATAACAATGATAATGTATTTCTTAACTCATTACATAAACTAATCAAGATCATTATAAGTAACATAATAAGAAAAATATTTATAAAGGAGGATCTCTAATAAATTATTAAAAATAAAAGATTAACAAATAAAGCATACTTTATATGTCAAATATCCTCTTGTACCATAGAGAGATTGTATATGCAATTAACTCTAAACTTAAACATGTAACAATTTTTAAAATATATAAAAAAAAATATTGTACTTGCTTGGTCCCATATTAATAGTGAGCAAAACTTTTAAGGATAGACGTAATTAATGCAATGTACAGTTTTACCATTACAAAGTTATGTTTCAAGTATTGACGAAGAGTAATATTATATATCTACTTCTACCTGTTTAGCAGAGGAGGAATATAACTGATTTTTTTTTTTTTTTTTCTCATTTAATGTAATAGATAAGTTTAATTTTGTGTCTTATCTATCACATCAAAGCTATATAAATCATTCTATTACATAAATAAATTTGAAAAATCAATTTAAAATAATTTTTATTAGTTGACTTCTTTTAAAAATTTAAAGGTATTTATGGAAAGGGGCATTTATACTTTTCAAATTAAACATATTTGGGGACAGTGAAAAAAACGGATACTATTAGGTTGGAAAGAGGGAGTAACTAAAGGAATGCAAAAGAGGGCAGTGTAGTCCTTTTAACATGATGATCAACCCCATAAATTGAAGGAAAAAATTCTCGAATTACTTGTGTGGGAAAAAAAGAAAACCACACACGAGGATATTGTACATATGTGGATTGAGCAGAAACCGGAGGGCTTAAGGGCGCGAAATGAAGACGAACAATCTTCCCATTATTTCATACAGATATACATTACATATATATGTTGGAAATTGAATCTCTGAAACCGACCATTCTGACGTCTCTTTCTCCAAACCACAAAAAAGCAAGAAAAACGCAAATTATTACTCCTTCCATATACATATCCAATTCAATATATATATACACATATTCAATTTTTTTGATTATTTATTTTAATTATTTAATAGGCAAAATATTATTTACTCACTGTAACAACAGTGAATTTAGTACATACAAATCGAATTAAATAAAATAAAATAAAATAAAAAAGCATCCACATCCACCTCCGCCTCCACCTCCACCTCCACCTCCCCCATCCCCATCTATTTATACTCTTCTATGCCCAAAATCAGTATTTACACAAGTGATAGAGAGTGCTCTTCATGAGAGTATCTCTGAAGACGTCGAAACAGAGAAGGGCCGCAGAAAACAATCTTAATTTCCAACATTTGTTCTACAACCATGTGTAATCCGAACATCACTCCCACCATTCCCATCACCACACCACTCACATCTGATCACAAACCAATCCAACAACAACCACATACCAACTTTTATTTCGATCTTTTATCACTCCAAAACACCACAAAATCCGACCAAGAAAATCCAAAGCCATCCCAGTTCAGTCCCCCAACCCTGTCCCATATCGTCACCGAGACCAAATCCCTCTTCAACCTCTCTTTTCCCATAGCACTCACCGCTCTCACCCTCTACTCTCGCTCTATCCTCTCCATGCTCTTCTTAGGCCACCTTGGCGACACCCAACTCGCCGCCGGCTCTCTCGCCATCGCTTTCGCCAACATCACCGGCTATTCTGTCCTCTCCGGTCTTGCTCTCGGCATGGAGCCTCTCTGTTCACAAGCTTTCGGTGCCAAACGTCCAAAGCTTCTCTCTCTAACTCTCCACCGCTCTGTTATTTTTCTTCTTGTTTCGGCCATACCCATTATACTCCTTTGGCTCAACATTTCCAAAATTCTTCTCTATTTACACCAAGACCCCAACATCGCACGCTTGGCTCACACGTACCTCCTTTTCTCTCTCCCTGACCTCTTCACAAACTCTTTCATTCACCCAATTCGCATTTACCTTCGGGCACAAGCCATCACCTCCCCGCTCACGTTAGCATCGCTCGCCGGCACGATTCTACACCTGCCCATTAACTTTTTGCTCGTGTCACACTTCCGGCTCGGCGTGGCGGGTGTCGCCGCCGCCTCCGCCGCGTCCAATTTCTTTGTTTTGGTGGCGCTGGTTACGTACGTGTGGGTGTCTGGGTTGCACGTGCCGACGTGGACCCCACCGAGCCGGGAGTGTTTGACTGGCTGGAAGCCGCTGATTCGGCTCGCTGGGCCGAGCTGTGTTTCGGTGTGTCTCGAGTGGTGGTGGTATGAGATCATGATCGTGCTCTGTGGTCTCCTTGTTGACCCCAAAGCCACTGTGGCGTCAATGGGTGTGTTGATTCAAACCACGTCGTTGATATATGTGTTTCCGTCGTCACTAGGGTTTGCAGTTTCGACACGGGTTGGGAATGAACTCGGAGCTAACCGACCCGATAAGGCTAGATTGTCCGCTTTGGTGTCAATATTTTTAGCGGCTGTGATGGGCTTATCAGCAATGGTTTTTGCATCCGGAATGAGAAATATTTGGGCCCGGATGTTCACCAATGATGCTGAGATCCTACGGCTGACAGCAGCTGCTCTGCCGATCCTAGGGCTGTGTGAGCTCGGGAACTGTCCTCAGACAGTCGGGTGTGGTGTGGTCCGAGGTACAGCCCGACCCACTACCGCAGCTAACGTGAACCTTGGCGCATTCTATCTAGTGGGTATGCCCGTGGCGATTGGGCTTGGGTTTTGGCTCGAGGTGGGCTTTTGTGGGCTTTGGCTTGGGTTACTGTCGGCCCAAATCTGTTGTGCCGGGCTGATGTTATATGTGGTTGCGACCACGGACTTCAACGACCAAGCCACGAAGGCACAGATGTTAACACGCACAGGATGTGAAGAAGTCACACTCCCTTGTGATTGTGACGATGAAAAAGAGCCGTTGATTTGCGTGACGGTCACTTCATCATTATAGTCAAATGACCAAAATTAGGCACCCTAATTTAGTTTTTGATTTTCTGATTGTTTTATTATTTTTTTTCTTTGAATTTTCAAGTTCCAATATGACCTGTTGAATTTTCTTTTTTTTTTGGCGGTGGGAGAGTTTAAGGGCTTTAGCAAAAATGATAGATGAGAAATTTTATTTATTCTTTCTCGTTTAACTTTTTTATTTCTTGCTTTCCCCTTTTTTTCTCCTATTATGTTGGGACCCATTAAAATTAGTATTGTTGATTCTTGGTTGCTTCTTAGTGGTTCTGCTTATTCAAAGTTTCTGTAACTTGTAAAGAAATTGCTTACATGTAATGAAATAATTGGTGTGAATCTTATTTGTGTATTGACTCTTTTTGGTTGTCTCATGAATGAGGACATGAAAACGTGTTATTTTCTCTTAAAAGGGCTGCAAACATGTCAGTCTTCTTAGTACTGCTTTCTCTATTGTCCTTGCAGTACTTGTTGAAATCAGGGCGTGTCTGTGCTCACCCTCTCCCCAGATTGTATATTTCTAGTAGTACATACAAACTAAGCATATGTGGTTGGCAATTAGGCTTACAAGTTTGAACCAAGTCCAACACGATGACCATGATTCACTCTGGTGGTTGCCATTTTTTCAATCAATTCAAGCCTTTAGAAACATAATCAACGAGACATTAATCCAGTGGTACAACATCTGAGAGGTTTGAATCCCCGACATGACAACATTAGTATGCATGAATACATGTATTAACCCAGACATAGTCGTCGCTTGGTTTTGTGATCTTGATTGTAGAACACAAAAATGCATAGTAAATAGGGTGAATTGTATAAAATACCTCTTGACTTGTAGTTTTGTATTGTAGTAAGCCCTCCTTTTAAATTTTTTTTTTTTTTTTGGTCAAAAACTCCTTCCAATTCACCATCGTAAATACCAGTCCAATCTGGTTGCATGTTCTAGGATATACATGCTTGTCGCCCCTTGCATGTAGGGGCGGAGCCAGAAATTTGGTTCAGGAGGGATATATTAACACTGATAAAATAATTTTTTTCAAACAGGCAAAAAATATAATAGTGTAACAATTGTGCAGCAGAATAAGTGAATAAAAAATGAATTAGAAGAGAGAGAGACAAAAAAAAAAAAAAAAAGGTTATTGCATATAAATTATGCATGAGTGCAAGAAAAAAGAAACTTTTAAGAAGAAAAAGGAATTTTTTAAGAAGAAAATGAAATAAAAAGAAATTTGAAGAATAAGAAGGAAAAGGAATAAAGAACTGAATGCATTTTTAGAAATAGATAATTTTATGGGAATACTTTAAAATTTTATGAGGGTGTTTTATAAATATTTACAAATTATAGGCATAAAATAAAATAAAATTTAGTGGATTCAGGGGCAGAGGGACCATTTTATTAATTTTAAGGAGGACATTGTGTCAATTTTTACAAATTTATATATAAAAAAACAAAAAAATTTAATGGGGCAGCATGGGCGGGAGGCAGCTGCCCCCCTGGGCACATGCTGCCTCCGCCCTTGCTTGCATGGACTTGGGTTTTATAAATGAGAACACTTTCTCCGCGGTTGGATTAAAAGATTGAGGGTCCTGAATCGAACGATTGAGAGTGCATACACTCATGATGAGAGCCTCTTATGACAACTTTTTTTTTTTTAAATTTACAATAATTTAAAACTTGAATAACCTAAATTATGTGGTAAGATATAAAGTAAACGACTGTATAATTAGTGACAATTGTTGATGTGAAATTCGCAATCCCCATCTGAGACCAACTGGCTATTTTGTAGCCTATTTCAAGGAAAATGGTCTCCAAAGCCAGCTAATTTGAATTGAATGGACTAATTGACTTCACAATTTGCCTGTACATTACTGTTTGAAGAAACATTGAAAATGGACAGATACTACATATTAGCTTTTAGAAAGTTATAGGTTGAAAATGATGCTTAAATCTGGAATATTTCTCCCCAATGACTATGAGCTGTATCTTGACTCTCATGCTAAGCTTCTCAATCTTGACTCAAATTTTCTTAAAATTCTGTGGGAGAAACTATATTATACCTCTGCAATGTATCATATTTTCTTTAAAAAAAATTGAAGTAACAAAAAAAAAAAAAAAAAAAAAAAAAACAAAACAAAATTGTTTGGTTTTCAAAAAAAAAAAACCATTAGAAATCATCACAGTGACCATTACATTAGTCATTTTACCAAAAATTCCCTAAACTTGTAAAGACCACTCAAGTAGTATCTGCATGGTGGTTCATTTGCATCCTAAAGAGATGGATAGAAATTAGAATTGAACCCTGAAAGCAAAAAGTGCCCATAAGGGAATAGGCCATGAAAGCCAGAGTAGTGAGCCATGGAAGCTTGGAGAAGGGAAACAAAATAAGTTGTTGTCTGCTTTTTGAGTTGCAGAATCTTTTCTTTCTGCAGTGCTTGTTCTATGGGGGGGTTATTGGCCATCACATATCACACACATGTGTGTGTGTCTATGTGTACCAGACTATGAGTCAAATCTACTTTGTTGTCATATATATATATCTTTACATTGCTTCACCACAGCTTTCTCAAAACTGATGTCTTTGCCATATGTTACTTGTACCATATATAAAGAAAGTTGGAGCTTTGCCATAAGTGTCTATTCTCCAGCTAGAAGGTGGCGCCCACTACTGCTTACTGGCCTCAGTCCACAAAATCATCCTGAGAAGGCTAGCCAAAAGAAAAAAAGATAGGGTTTTGTGTGTGTGTGTGTGGTAGGTGAATAAAGATGGTGTAATCAATTGAGAATTAGTCTAGGGGAATCAGGCTGATCAGATGGTTTCAGACCATCAAATTTAACAATATTTTTAAACAATTCTACCAAAATATAGTCCTTTTAAGTTTTATCCATATTTCTTGTAAATTAAGCAATCATATATTCTTTTATTTTCTTGAGAAATATCATCAAAGGCCAAACAACAGCAGTAGTCATAGAATTATATCACTTTGGGTATATGTATGTGCTATAAATCCTATAATCTATATAGAAGAACAACATGCACTAATTTCTAATTGATCAATATATTTATTGAAGAAAGGTCACCGCCACGAACTTTCTAGAGTATATTATTGGCCAAATGTATGACTCAAAAAAGAAATACAGAACTAAGGACATTAGCAGTTCGGGCTGGATATAGTCACAGATTCCCCACAAGTGTCTCTCTGAACAGCTGAACTCTGAAGGGTCATGGTTGGCATTCCCTTGTTATACTAATACATGACACTAGTATATTTCCCTAAAAAAACAGACACCCGCCCACCACCATCACCCATTCCTGTCCCTAGACATGCTTCTCGTATGGCTACCCTTTTGAGCAACCTCTCCATTCCCCTCTTTCTCTCTCCTCTCTTTCTCTCTCTCTCTCATGTCCCCTTGTCTAATTCTCTCCTCTTTTCAGGAGTACTTTTTGCCATTCTTTGAGTCTCACAAGACCCCAACACCACCATCATCACCCAGACCATTCCATCATGCATGTCTATATATATATATATATACATGAAATAAATCTATGTAGCTCTTGCTATGTAACAAAAACATTGTAGGTTGAAGTTAGGGCATAGCCCTAGCCTTTGTCTACCTTATAAGAAACAACTGGCACAAAACAATAAACTTCCAAGTTTCAATATTCCTCTCTCCATCAGCAGCTTTGCATGACTAGTAAAGGTTTAGTTCCATGATTTGCTCAACTTACTGTTTTTCTTTTTATTATTATTATTAATTTTTTATTTTTATATATATCTCAATCAAATAATAGGCACAACATGTTTCCCCCAAGTGGACCTAATCTCCCCATTCACACATGACTCTCTGTACATGTAGCATCTACATGCATGTTAATTAGGCTTTCATTGACTCACCCACCCATCACCCTCTACACCCTCTAGGCTCGACACGTGGGGGCCCACTAGACCTATGGATCGATGATGAAACCACCCATATGGGACTATGATCTCTTTTAGTGTGGCCTAAGGACTCATTGGAGTATTTATCAGTGACCACTGTGTTTCCATATCACTTTACCGATGACATATATATATATATATGTGTGTGTGTGTGTGTGTGTGTGTCTTAATGTATATGTAGTCTTCTCTCTTTTAGGCTGATCTTTTCACTCGGGACCAAGAGGAGAGGGGTTATTATGTTTGTTGGGGACCAATTGGACCAGCTTAAAATGACAGAGAGTGGGGGTCAAAAGGCTTGTGGTTTTGATTTAGGCAATAGTCAAGTCTTGACATGTCCTCAAGCAAGAAAGAATTTAAGCTTATCTCTTTGTATATAGATTCTTCATTAAAATAAGCATCTGTATTGAATGATTAAAGGTTGCTTCATCTGTAAATTAGTAAGCATAAAGAAATTTAAACCAACCATATCATATGATTTAGATTTGTAGCTAACGCCGAGCCTAGTACTAAACATAAAAATAAAATAAAGTAAAACTTCTTCGGGCCTCATAGCCAGATCAATATTTGGGCCCAGATGTTCTACCACAGAAGTCCGAATTTATTTTGCTGGTCACAGGACCCAATGACCCATGATCATGCTGAGTCCCACTCCCTTATCTTTCTATTCTGGCCCCAATAGCAACGTCATTGGTTAATACATTTAAACCCGATAACGATCCAATAAACCTGGGATGCACTTCGATTGAGTCAGGCTCAGTGGGCTGAACATTCAAACCAAGCCCAGCAGAAACAAACCAAGTCCATTAGAACAATACTCATTTTTAGCCCACTTGTTCTCCAATAATGTGGCTTATTGCATTGAGAAGAATGTGAAATTTGACCCACTTTCCTTCGTGACATGTTTGAAATTCTTGTCCTTTTTTATTACTATCATTTTTTTTTTTTTTTTTATAGCAAAGACATGTTGAATGTTGAACCACTTTGTATGATTATTTTATTTATTGTAATTAAATTAATATAAAGGTTGTATATATAGTCGAGAACATTTCTTTTCCAACCAGAGCAACAATATGACATTGATTTGGAATGTAAGTATTAGTAAACATTGTGCTATACAAATCTAATTTGCTTGTGTCGTTCGACTTTGGACTTTATAATAGGTCGAAAGTCCAAATGCTAGCTGATGCATTCTGCTGGATAATCAATTCTCTGTTCTTAGAGATTCAATCATTTTTATTTTTATTTTTCTTTTTCCCTTATTTGAAGAATGGATGTGACAAATATAATTACACGATTGTCACATTTTTTCCATAACTAGCGAAGCCAACAAGTTCGATCCCCGCCCAAATTATGTCACCCCTTACTCTTTATCAACCCTATATTCAAGGTCAGCTAAGGCTTAGGTGTGCTCCCGAACTAGCTCCTTAGTTTACTTATGTATTATAGAGTAGTTTTTTTTTTTTTTTTTTTTTTTTTTTTTTTTTTTTACTTTCAAGATTTCTCAATTCTAAAATAAATATGTCTTCATTATTTTCTTCCTTACTCTTTTTTTTCCTTTTAATTTATTTGATTTCCTTCATATTTTGCGTTCTTTTTCTTCAAACACATTCCTTTTTTTTCCTAAAAAAGTTATCTCATTTTTCTTTTCTTCCCTTTTTTTATTTTATTTTTTTCTCTTAAAATTTTTTCTTCTTGCACTCATATATGGTGCATTTTTTTCGCTCTTCTTCTTTAAATTTATTACTATAATTTTATGAACTCAATGTCCATATTTTATGTCTAGAAATTTTTTTTACTGTATTTTTTTTTTTTCGCCAATAACAACATGCTATTTTGTAATTTCTATACCATGACTACACTTGTATTTTTCAACTTGCAAGTTGCAACACAGTTAGTTGGATTATTTTTTTATCAAATTTTTTTTTTTTTCATCATGTTCAATATGCCCGACATGATTTTTTTGACTCCATCTCTAGAAATCGCCGTCTATTTACAAGAAAGGGGAGTGCATGACATCTATATAAAATCAACAATCACCATTCCTTTTTTAAATTACTTAAAATTAATTACACGAATAAAATTACATATTAACTAAATCGGAAGATATATTCAACGCAAAAAAAAACACCAATAAATCGAAAGTGTAACAATAATGTAAAAAGTGTATTATCAATCTAATCATAGATTATAATACTTTTACAACTTGGACAAAATATGATAAACATGGTTTCATGGTACGATCTCCAGTTGCTTTCTCGTAAATAACGACATGTAGAGGGAGGTTTTGTCTCTCTATACACTCAATAGCCCACAAATGAGAACTCACCAGCGTACCACATGCTACAGGCCTCGTTTTCATCAATTAATGTACGAAATTCCACTGTTTTATTACATTTTACTAGTACTATTTTCTTCACATTTCTTCCTGTACAATAGAGACATTCACGCCAAAACAAAGTTTTATGTGGTCCACTGCATGTCATATCATATAACTATGATATACAAGGTCTTAAAAATCGAATGTATTAACCTGAAAGTTTGAAACTCTGTATATTTGATTTGTTTGTTTGGAACTTTAAATTTGTACTTGTGAGTTTATTATTCATATTTTTCTAAAATCCTTTTATTATATTAGATTTTTAAAATGTAATTCTCGATTTAAGTTGGAACTCTGTAAACAAATACTATAATTCTACTATTTTTTTTTCTTTTACATAAATTTTGTAATTTGTATAGATGTGTATAAATGAAAATTCTGAATTTCAATCGTAATTCTTAAAACAACTATGATCTTAGTTAAATGATATTTTATAAGCTACCTACAAAAAGAATTAACGTTAAGTTTAAACTTAGAATAAATATGAAAATCCTTGTGAAATTTACATGGTCGAAAAATAAATCTTTTGGCAGAATTAGAGCTAATTGAGAAGAAAGAGATTTATGAATTGATGGTGATAGTTATGAACTATTGGAGCAAAAAATGTTGAAAAATATATGTTTTATGTGATATTTAAGATATAATAAATCTTATACTAATATGTTATAAGATAATTAACAATATATTAGAAAATGATTAATTAAATATGCAATTCAATATTTAATAAAATATGCAAAATAAATTAATAAATAAAAATTAAAAAATCTTGACCAAGGCTAGTATTGAATACTATGTCCTTAAGATAATTTACATCCTGCATGGTCTTGACGGATTCTGTGGCGCTTGTCTCCCAGGATATAACGGTCTATATCCAGCAGTAGCAGCACTACAAACTCTTGAATATGGCGAACCTCCTCCGTGTATTACTTTCTCTGACTCAAAAAATGCATCTATAATATATAAATGTTGAATTGAATGCAATCCGAACCAAATGGTTCGGACTCAATAAAATTAGATTGGAGTAAGTGGCTCGGACCACTTGACATATGGTTTGAACCCATTTGGGATGGTTTAAAGTCTAGAGAGAGAAAATAAAATGAATTGAACGAATTGCAAATGGCAGGTCAAGGGATATTTATAGAGATAGAAGTACCTTTTCGGATTGGTGTGTCTCTTCATCATTGGAAACAACCATTGATATGTATTTCTTCATCATTAGACACAACATTTATACGTGTCTATTCATCACCAGACACATCCACTGTAATATGTTGCAATGATTTATATTGAATAAGTTATGTCTATTAGTTTTGAGTTACACCTTTTCATCTCACAACCAACCAATGATCAGACTCAATCAAAAGTATCTGTGGACGACTCATGAAATAATTTTCATTCAAAAATTCTAACAAAAAATAATAATAATAAATAATGGCTCTCTAATATCCTGGAATCCAAGTGGCAGATAAGATAAAGTCTTTATACAGAATAGTGCAGAGGAGGCCCATATAACTGTAAATTAGGCATGGACCTGTCCAGTTCACCCAATGAATAAAGTGGTAATTATTTTTTAAAATAACCAAAAACCTGTAGTAATTCTGAAAATTATATACTAAATAACCAAAAACCTTCAGTAATTCTGATTTAATTCAAAGTTATAATTATTTTTCTAATTTAAAAGAGTTGTTAACGTATTGCATAAGTGATGTAATAATAAGGGCAAAACACGAGTGTCCCATGATAAAATAGAGAGGAGCATCACTCATTTATCCCTATACAATTTAAATTATTAATTAATTTCCACTCTATAAAGTTGGAGAGATTAGGAAGAGAGAAACGAATTTTTTAAATGATATATAATAGTTTATTTTCTTTTTAATTGTATATAATTATTTATTTGTATAAAAAAATTGGTAAATAAATTCAGCAGCTTCGGGTTGGTGAAAGTAGCTTTCTTGTCTAAACAAGCCTGCAATTCATTCATTTAATTGATTTTTTAAAAATAAGATGTCTACCCTTTCAAATTTAATACCTATATTTGTTTGTAATAGTTCCTTATAAGGTAGGGCTAGATAAGTGAAGAAGAGTTGAATGAACAAGAAATAATTTAATAGGATGTAGCTTCTATTCAGCTACCACTCAAATTATAGGTCAATCAACAATAAGTATTTTAGCATTATATCTCTAGATTAAAGTATTTTAGGCAATTACACAAATCGTGTTAAAAATTCTCAGAATTAGATTCTAAAATGTTTCATATTTTAAGATATTATATTATTCTAGAGTATTTTGGACTACACAACACAAATCTATACAACTCTTCATAACTGTACACTAGTGCAGGGATGGATCTAGAAAATTGTGTGGGAATGGGATAATAGAAGGATTAATTTTTTGTAATTTTAAGAGAGTAATATTAAAATTAATTTCATGGATATATAATTCCAAAAAAAAAAAACTTTTCTCCATTAATTCGGATAAGTTTTGCAACTTCGAATATATATATATATATAATTCTGAAATCACAGCTCCAAGCCAATCCAAAAAAAGAGGGAGAAAAGCTGCAGTCATTAGTCATCATTTGGTGACAGAGGAGGAGAAGAAGAATTGAAAATTCAATGAAAAAGCCACTTTATTCTCTCTGCTTTATCAGACTGAAGTGTTCTGAGAGACTATATCAAACTTGACCCTCCACAAGCAACGCAACAATTACTCTATTTATGGGTTAGCAATGCTTTGGTGGTTATACTTTCGGGGAAAAAAAAATGCTTTGGTGGTTATACAGTGAATTATGCATGAATATGTGAATATATATATATATATATATATATATATAAACAAAGATTTTTTTTACCCCCATCCCACAAATTAACAAATGAAATATATTATTACATCCCTTTTTAATATTTTAAACTTTTACCTAACTTAATTGTAACATTAACATAAATATATATATAAAAAAAAATTATGCTAAAAAATATATATATATATATATATAAAGAATCAAAAGCTCAACGAAATATGAGAGAGGAAAATTAGAGGAAGTTTCTTTCACATGTAGTTAAAGAAGAAATAAATAGATAGATAAAGTTGATTTAAATATATGAATTACTACTCTGGGAACAGGGTCATGTATAATTGTATATCGCTTAGAGTATATTATTCACGAGAGTGTCAGATGCTGAGACGACAGACACTGAGGTATCTTTTGCTTTTTAAGGACACGTCGCTCCAGAAAGTACTTAAGACCCTTCCTTTTCTTTTCCATCAAATAACAAAGCTACTTCTGAGTTTCTGATTGGAGAGTTGATATTTCAAAGCCTTTCACTTTCTATCTTACCTACCAACCTTGGGTTTTCTTTTCACTTTTCTTGTTAGCAATTGAGAATCTGATTCTATGACACAAATGACTTTCTTTAATTTGTTAATCACATGTAATTTTTAATTTATTTCTCCTTATTTAAGTATTTTATATGTTTATGTGTCCATTTGGTCACATGAATTATGTAATTTTGGTGTACCACCTAATTAAATATATCAATTTTTTTATTATCATTGAACACTTTGTGATTGATCGGATCACAAAGACCAAACTCATCTAATAATTTTTCATTAAAAATCCAATTCCACAATACAAATTACTTTTCTTTAATTTGTTCATGACATGTAATTTCTAATTTATTAATATTTGTTTAAAGTATTTTATATGTTTATGACGTAATGTACTATAAATTTATATTTAATATCTGCATCTCACAGCTGCACTTCCTTGTCTTGTAATGCAGTTTTTCACGAGGTCATGGCAGTATTTTTTGAAAAAGAATATTAAAGAAAAAAAAAAGGCATGAAAAATGAAAAATCTCTGATCTTTGTTTTTTATAAACTTTTTTGAACTTTTGAATTTTTTAAATTTTTTTCTAACTTTTACCTACCAACTTTTATACAATGTGAAAGGGACTAAACTGTGAGCTGTGGCAACATATTTTAAATTGGAAACCCCACCCCCAACTTGTGTTTTCAAAATCTCACTCTTCTTTTTAAGTTCTTTGCGTTATTATTACACTACTAGTTTTCAATGGACTCGGAAAGTTCGAACTTTTGTTTCTATTGTTTTCAAGTCTGTATGACCCACTTTTAAGTGTTTTTTAACTGAAATCTCCAGTTGGGTTTTCAAATCTCCACTGTTTAAAGTCCTTTCTCTCTCTATTGATTGTTGCAATAATCTATCTTTCTACAAAGTACTACTACAAATTTCAGAAAATGTTAAATATTATACTCTGTTCTTGCTTACCTTGTTTTAACAGCTCTTTTTATGACAACTTTGACACAATATGAAAAAAGCCTACATTTTGAGCTGTAACAGTACCTTTTTAACTCGAATCTCCAACTGGGTATTTCTCAATTTCACTCTTTTTGAGCTTCCCAAACACATCCCTCTCTCTCTCTTCACTGCCATTTTTTGATATTGAGCAAATGGGTAGAGCAATTAGGTGGTTGAAGGGGTTGTTTGGGATAAAGAAAGACACAGAACAAAAGCAGAGCTCAAATTCCGACAGGAGTCGGTGGACTTCTTGCTACTCGGGGAGGGACTCCGGCGAGCCGTGTCACAATCCGGTGGCCACCATACCACCAAACATAACGGCTGCGGAGGCAGCGTGGCTGAGATCTTTCTACAGTGAAACAGAGAATGAGCAGAGCAAGCACGCAATTGCAGTGGCCGCCGCCACCGCAGCTGCCGCGGATGCGGCCGTTGCAGCTGCACAGGCCGCGGTGGCTGTTGTTAGGCTCACTAGCCATGGCAGAGGCACCATGTTTGGCGGCGGCCGCGAAAGATGGGCCTCCATCAAGATCCAGACCGTCTTCAGGGGATATTTGGTAATTACAATAAATTTATATTATTTTTAATTATAATGTTTATCTGAATAATTGTCACAACAGTCTATAACAAACACACGTATAAAAAATATAAATAAAAGAGGGACTTTTATCAATTTAATTTGTTGTTGAATTGGTAATGATTTTTTTCCTGTTCCTGTTTTGAAGCAAAGTTTGGAGACTGTGTCTTCCAACAGTTTTGAAGCAAAGTGTTTTACTAAATTGTTTTTGGTTTTTTTGGGTTGTGAATAGGCCAGAAAAGCACTGAGAGCTTTAAAAGGACTAGTGAAGCTACAAGCACTTGTTAGAGGTTATTTGGTGCGCAAACAAGCCACTGCAACACTTCATAGCATGGAAGCTTTAATAAGAGCACAGACCACAGTTCGAGCCCAAAGAAACAGAGGGTTCACCAACAATGATGAAAGGGTTCATACACAATTCAGAGCCCGAAGATCTATTGTAAGCCCCAAATGTCAAAATCGAACAAATTTCAAAGTTTACTGTTATGTTTCTGAGTACTGAATTGGTGTCTTAGAATCGAAGAAAATTTAATTCTAAGCCTTCGATTTTAATTCATAACATTAATTTATTTTTTTTGGGGACTACTGACAATTTCTTTCCTTTTTTTTTTGTTGATTTTGTAGGAGAAATTTGATGATACAAGAAGTGAGCACACTGCATCAATACATAGCAGAAGGCTTTCAGCATCTTTGGACATAAGCACCACTGAGGGCAGTCCAAAGATTGTGGAAATAGACACAGGCCGGCCCAAATCAAGATCCCGGAGAACCAACACCTGGGTGTCAGATTCCGGCGACGACCCATTTGGCCAAACACTCTCCTCACCCCTCCCTTGTCGAATTCCGACCCGGTTATCAATCCCCGATCACCAGAACTTCCAAGATATCGATTGGGGACTAACCGGTGACGAATGCCGGTTCTCCACTGCCCAAAGCACCCCCCGGTTTGTAAATTCCGGCGGGTCAAATGGCCCGGTGACGCCTGCGAAGAGCGTCTGTGTTGATACTTATTTCCGGCAGTACACAAACTATCCAAATTACATGGCGAGTACAAAATCATTCAAGGCGAAATTGAGGTCCCATAGTGCTCCAAAGCAGAGGCCTGAACCTGGGCCTAAGAAGAAGCTATCGCTCAATGAAATGATGGAGTCCAGGAATAGTCTTAGTGGGGTCAGAATGCAGAGGTCATGCTCACAAGTTCAAGAAGTGATTAGTTTCAAGAATGCTGTGATGGGAAAGCTTGAAAGGTCTACAGAGTTTGTTAGAGAGCCAGAGAAGAGATTATTATATTCTGAGGAAAGGCTGAGAGAGATGCTATAGCTAGAAATTGCTTTTTGAATTGTGTGACCTAGAAAGGAAAGATGATGATGATGGTGGCTGATGATGATGGTGGATGATGACAGAAACTAATACACAAAAAGGTGAGTACTGAGTAGAGTTGACAGTCGAGATGTTGTTAGAATGTGTGAACAAATATGTTGAGTGTTTAGATGAACTTTTTAATCAGTTATATGTATAATTAATTAATCATTAGTTCTATTGGTTTGGGCTAATCATCATATTGTTTGGCGGCTTTGATGACTTTCACTATCGCAATATCTCCTCTTATCTTGCTATTTAAAATTTTAAACTATCTTTTAATATTATTTTATTCAAAGTGATTAATATATACAAATTATCCCTTGATATGATAAAAACTGAAATTATAGTTTTTGTTTTTATTGTCTTAAAAATATTTTAGGAATTTTAGTTTTAAAATTGACAAAATGTCATAATTTGCCTGCTTTAAAAAAAGTAAGGAATTTTTTGAACAATAAGAATATTTATACCTCGGGTATGAGGGGGATTTTTTTGCACTTTGCTCTCAAAACTTTTTTCATTACAAGGATTAACAATAAAGTTTAGGTGCTCTCTAACAAAATATTCCCCACAATATGTAATTATGATTAGTTGATTTCAATTTTTTTTTTTTTTTTTTTTTCTAACAAATTAAAGAATGCATATTCGGATATACTTGCTTAATATCAATTAGGTGAGAGAATAATGCTATTTTCGAAATTTTAAACAAACCATCTATCATGTAACTTCTCAATATTTTCAAATAAAAGGATATTGTATGTCTATAATCCAAACAAATGACTAAGTAGTTATTTATTTCTTTTTTTTATTGACAAAAAAATATACACATAAGTCATACACCTACTTTGTATCATACAGAGTGGTCATTTCAAATTAGATAATATTTGTCGTCTTACTCTTTTTGAATTTGTCTGATTTTGTGGGCTATAGCTGGCAGCAGGTGAGTGGTTGGTTGTATTTTGTATTATGTGTAGTTAAGATAAATATATTATTGCAAATTTGGACGGTGGTGATGCCCATCATGTACAATCCTTGAGGGACCCATTTCTGTTTGAATAAATCAAACAAAACCGACGTGGTGTAGCCACACACGCTCGGAGACGAGAGAGTACGGAATAGGGGCCAAGCAAATACGCAGTTAGACCTGTAAACTCGATCCAATTCGAATTTAATAAGTCTACTATTTGATTCGATTTGATCTGTCCACAGATATTTTGTAAATGAATTTATATTTGATTTGTTAAAAAATAGATATAGTAATCTTTTCATATATAAAAAGTAAAAAAAAAAAATTTAATGTCAAAAAAAGAATAAAAAACAATGACTATAAAATGATAGAAAACAAAAGATAAATAAAATATAGAAGGGAAAAATAAAAAATAATTAAAAAAAAAATCATTTACTCTTTATTAATGAATAAACATTATGAAATTATTAATATGTATGTATATTAGGAGATTTATTAATACGTGGATTAAAATACCACACTATTATACTATAAGTATGTAACATTATGTACAATACAAATCTGATAGAAGTATTGATATATATATTCCAAAATGAAATATTACAGTATATTTGTTGGTAAATTTATTTATACTAGAGAAGTATATTAATTTACTTATACTGAGAACAATAAAATGTTTCATAGGAAAAGACTATAATATCATACTATTGTTGCAAAATTGAAAGATACGGGTATTATATTTCTTTCAAAGAAACATCTAAATAAAAACATTTTTTTAGTAAAATATACTGTTATAAGGTTTCTATTTTTATTTTGATAATTACCTTCTAAAAATAAGGTGTGAGTGGTTTTGTGTTAAACAGAAAGATCATAGGTGGGTTTGAAAAATAACCGTTAGATTTCTATATAAAAAGTGTGGATTAATTTTCTTACTCCATGGAAAGCAAGAGATCAGGACTCTATATATATATATATATGTATGCATGCATATAATATAAAATATTATTATATATATAATTTTATTCAGATCGGATTATTATAGGATCAAATCAAAAAAATTCATATCCAATTTGTTAGGCTAATAGGTTATCGGATTTGATCGAATTTTTTGTTTTTGTTCAGTCCATATCTGACTAATCGGATCATAATCTAATCCATTGACATGCATGTACAATATGGTAAAACTGAAATATTAAGTATTGAAAATTTTAAAAGTTGAATTTCAAGTGTTTTTAAGTAATAATTAAAAAATAAATAATTTTTTTATTGTTAGCATTCAGTGATTAAAAACAAGAAAAAATAAAGTGATAGAGCAATCACTAATAGAATTGGATTAGGCAATAAACCTAATTCATTCCAATACCTTTGGTAAAAATTTAATCCAATCCAATTCAATTCGTTATCTTACAAATTGAATTGAATCAGATTAATTCTATTGATTGAATGTTTTTCAACCAGTCCAATATTATTATTCAGGGTTAAAACTTACTACAAGTTAGTAAAATTTTAAAATAATAAAAGAATAAATAAAATAAAAATGATATATTATATATATATTATATATAAATTTCACCAAGATTATCATTAGGAGGGGCTTTTACAAAGATTAATGGAGGGAAAAGTTACAATTTGATCCATTCAGAGCCATCGATGAAGCTAAGTGAAATAAAAGGCTTGGCTTCCTCATCCGTGAGTTCTCTTGACCATGACACTCTTCCTGCAAAGCCAGCACCAGCACCTGTGCACTTGTATTGCCCATAGAACACAGTCCTGCTCCCCAGCGCGAGCGAGAGAGAGAGAGAGATTAAATTATATAATGCTAGCATGCATATATGTATAAACCAAGCTAAGATTAATTGAGTAATTAAATGTGTATGTCACACATATGCTAGTATGCCCTAATCTAAACTTGATCTTGCAACCCATGGTATAGTGGGTGGTTAGGGTTTTTTTTTTTTTTAATACAGCCTTTGAGGTGCATTACACGTTGGCATGTCACTGTAGACAAAGGAGAATGGACATGACATCAGTGTCCTCCTTGTATATAGTGACAAATGAATGATTCAAGGTGCTATAGTTAGGTATTCGGTTCATTTCTATTAAATAATGTTTACCACCAATTAAGTTATTAAATAATTGATCAAAATATGTAATAATATAGATATTGCCATAGCCCTTGAAGAGATGCCCACTATCAAGGTAATGTAATACATATATACGGACATATATACATGACCTGAGCTACCATTGTAAGTGGACTAACATTTTTTGGTCGGGTGTAAAGTGTGTGTGTGTGTGTGTGTGTGTGTGTGTGTGTGAGAGAGAGAGAGAGAGAGAGAGAGAGACGTACATTTCTCGGCTAGGGTCACCCCAATTATACCAGCCTTTAGGAATGATAATGTTGTCCATATACGTATAGGCGAAGACTACCCTAGAGAAGGGACCCCATGCCCTCCCAAGGTACAAAGCTCCTGAACCCGTGACCTTACAGTTGACAAATGAGAAGCCAGTGTCTTCCAACAGGCTGCTCCTGCCTTGTGCTGTAAGGGCCCCCGTTAACCTTGCAATTGCATGCACATGACACCCCTGCGCGCAGTACAACCATGTCATCAGTGTCACTCCAACAATCACTAACATTTATATTCTATTTCCAAGAACTTTTAACTCTATTTTAAACCGTGTTACTTTCAGTTCTGCATTTCTTGTTCATGATTTTCAAAATACGTCAACACAAATAAGAGACATCCTTACAAGTGCCACGGACACATCACATTTCTCACATATGGGGGTCCCAATTTTCCTATGATGCTGAGGTGGCCTGATTAAAAAAGAAGGCAAGGAGAGGCAAAGGCCACTTTTTTTTTTTTCTATTCTAAGTTTTGTATTCTTTGATGAGTAGTTGGGCAAAGAAATATATAGTTTGAGTAGAGAAATCAAACCTCAAATAGAGAGAGGCCATTGCCAAAGATGAAATCAACAGAGCCTTGAATATAGCAATCCTTGTAATAATGCCTACCCATATGATCATAGAGTGTGTCCTGTGCACCCAAGAATCTACAACCCAAAAAAGATGCTGTATCTGCTGATATTCTAAATGCCACTGCTTGCTTTCCAATAGCTCCTGGTGCTGGAACTGGTGTGGTGTTCTACACCCATATTTCACTTAAACACAATTAGCAGCTATAGAGAGAGGACGAGATATATTACAGAGATATATGAAGCGGACTAGAGGACTATATATATATATATATATATATATATATATATATAACCTTAAATGTGATGTTCTTGGCAATGAAATATGGGGCATTCACAGCAAAAGTTGCGGAAGCATAGGTCCCAATGGGCTGCCCTTTTGCCCCAATTGTCTGAGCTGTGTCTCCCCATTGAACAATTGTTTTCTTTGCACCTGCTCCTTCTATAGTTATGAATGATTTTAATGAAGGGATGTTCACTTTCTCCCTGGAAAATTCACAGTTTCTAAATCAAATCCATTCCTCATGCTTTCAAAAATAATAAATAAAATATATTTCACATGTCCCACTTTTTTGGTAGTTCAAGTCAAAAGATCACTGCATATCGATTTGAAAGTGTTTTTTTTTAATCTCGCTAAACGAGTCTTGAAACCTTGACTTAAGGCTGCGAAATTAATACCCAAAAGCCAGCAAGCCAAAGGTAGATCGACATTGATTTGAATTTTGATCAGATAAGACCACTTACCAATGGTCATTAGCCCCGGGTTAATATTGTGGAGGTTTTGTGTGCGTTTGTTTGAACTTTTGAAAAGAAAAAATATATAAAATAAAATAAGAAAATAAAGAAAAGTTAGTTAGCTAATACATACTTGTAAACTCCTGCATGAACCTTGATCACTACTCTCACAAGATTAATGAAAGGAAGAGAATCAATAGCATCTTGAATGGATGTGAAATCTCCGGCAGCCGGATTCTTATCAACGGTGAGAGTATAAGAAGGGAAGAGCTTGTTCTTTGCAGTGGAGAAGAGAGAGTGTTTGAGTGTACCAACAAACCTGACCCACTTCATGAATTGTTGTTCTGAGAATTGGGTTTGTGTCATATTTGCTGTTAGTTGCTTCCCTGAAGGGGTCTTGGGTCTGAGACCCTTGGTGTGGCATAGTGTGTGGCTTGCATTTAGAAGAACAACAAGAAAGATAATATAGAAATTGTGTCTAAAACTGGACATTTATTGGAGAATTACAACGAGAGGAGAGAGAAAGTTTTAGAAGAATTTATGTTGGTTTGGAGTACTTTGGAAGTGCAATAGAGAGTGGCTTATGCACTGATCTATATATATTAGTAGTTAGTTGCATCTTTTAGGTAAAAAGTGATTTTGTTTAGAGAATCATGACATGGACTGAGACAGAGAGGTCACGGGTGCTTCCACTGACACAAATGTAGTGTGTGTGTGTGTGTGTGAGAGAGAGAGAGAGAGAGAGAAAGAGAGAAGGGGGAATCCATCACAGATTCACAGGCAAACAATGTAGGCCACAGGACATCCCAGAATGCGATTTTATTAGAAGAAGCGTTTGTTTTCTAAACTAAAATGTTTGATTTTTTTGTAGTTGTTGGTAGTGCCCGTGAGTGTCTTTTTGTTGGTGTGTGAAGGTCAACATATTCGCGAATTCGAGCATGTGTTTCTGTAATGTGTACCATACATAATAGTTGCAATCTCATCTCATCGTGATCTTTCCAGCTTAAGCGAATCTATATTTGTACTACGTATTTGGTTACATTCAAGGTCGATTAATGAGCGGACCCAAGGATAATACTAGCGCTTCAATTCGATTCTTCAACGGTTCGATCCTTCCAAAATTAGTTCAATAGCGATTTTAGGTCTAGGATCGACCCGAACCAAACCGTGAATTTATAAAGATATCGTGGTGGCCACCAGGTATCAAGTTTTTGGAAATGCGTCTGACCACATCTGAGAGCTCAAGAAGCTTTGAGATTGTCAATAGCTTCAATTCCTTTAGATGCTAGCTGACACATATCATACATGGAGTAACAGTGATCCAATGAAGATTATACAATATTTTTGTGCTAAATAATTTTTCTTCTTTTTTTTTTTTTTTACCAAATTTGGTAGGATTGGTTGGGAGTTTGTTTCCACAATTTACATATATATATATATATATATATATATATATATATATATATTCAAAAAAATAAAGAGAATCGCTGTTCCAAATCAAAACCAAACCTTGTACACCCAAATCACAACAGTAACCTGGTAATGATTGGGACATTTCGTGTGGGTGCTTTCCATCCATATCCTATGTGAAATAAGATCCCTTTCACACTTACCCTTCATTTTCATATTCCTTTTCTTTTATTTTCCTCCTATTTATTTATGTTTTTTTATTATTATTTTGTATTTTGGTGCTTTTTTGGCTTACCAATTGCCACTTATCATCAAACACAACAAACATTTGGCACCCGGGAGACTACAACTAATATTTTTAAATGAAATCGTTTTTATCGTTCAACTTAATATTCAATTATATATAGGTATGCATGTGTGTATGTATATATATATTATATATATTGATGTGTGTATATATATATTGATGTGTATTGAAGTTAACAATGAAAGAAGGGAAAAAAAATATAAAATATAAACATATAAAAAAAATATAAAAAAATCAAAATTAGATATTTGAGACTATTACAGACTTTGCAGTATGTATTGGGTCAGGCCTAAATGAATGGGCCCAGCTGATAAGAAGCCATCCCGGTTCAGCTAACGAAATACAGTCTTCTAAAGACATTTGAGAGGCAAGGGTCAAGGGTCAGAAATCTGTGTGTAGCAGATCTCATTGTTGAATATATGCATCTCACTGGTCCAAATATCTATATATGCCTAAGCAGGCGTTTGCTTTACAATCAACTGAAATGTAATGATAGAACTTCGAAAGAAAATTATATGCAAACATTTAATATACTTTTTTTTTTCTTGAATTTAATATACATATCTTCCTGAATTATTTGGCAATATATCATGCCAAAAAAAAAAAGCACATTATCATCAAGAATCCAAGAATGAAAAACCACTCAATCTTAGATCCAAACCTTAAAAGAAGAAATAAATTAAAAGTTATGACATGAACTATTAATATTTGAACAAAGGTGTATCATCCATCCTAAACAAGTATTGAGTTAATTGCTGCAGGAAATGCATTTCCATTCCACATCTACAAATTTTTTTTTTTATCCAATGAATAAATGATTGCACTATTATATGTATATTTTTATCCATCAAACAATTTTAGTGCTAATTTTTAAAATGAGAGTAGAAACAGACTTGGAGAATGTTGGAAACAGGAAATGAGCCAATTTTGTTTCTGTTTGTTAGTACTTGGAGTCAATGTAACTAAATGGCTTAGGAGTTTTATCATTGTTATTAAAGCAGACATAAGAGAATATGAACCATGTGAAATTTGAAATTATAACAATAAATCTGCAGAGGGAGAGCACCAGAAAAACATACAAAAACTAAATCTTGGTACTTTGTAAAGGAAAAAAAAGAAAAAAATGTAATGGAAGTTCAATGGAATCGTGACAAAAATTATCAACGGGCCAGTGGCCTAGCGGTATCAGCCTCTTACCTCCCAAAGGGAGATCAGGGGTTCAAGTCTCAAAAGAGACTAGTGTGTGTGAGTACCAATTAACTAGGAAAAAAAAAATCGTGACTAAATTGCTAAAGTTGGTATTTTCTTGAATGAAGTGGTTATCTTCATAACTTTGCAGAACTTACATATAATTGATTAACCCACGTGGTTACGTGTTATATTCATGTATCTTAGCATCAAAGCTCTGTACAATGAATACCCTAAAAAATAATTGAATTCATACCTTCAATCGAAGGGAGAGCTTTGTTTATATGTTTTTTTTCTTTGTTGTTGTTGTTGACTTTACGAACCAGTTTGTTGTTGACTTTACGAACCAGTAGAAGATCCCTCCGATTATACAAACCAGCAGAAGACGAATGCACTTTGCAGGGCCAGAATCCTTTTTGCAGTATGGTTTCCAGCACGATGTATACCAGTCAACTGACAGCAAATACCATGCTGCCCCTTAAAACCTAGAAGAACAAAGTTGAATAATCAATTCCAACACAGCTAGGAAATTCTCAAGGGGGGGAAAATGAAAAAAGGAATACAAACAAATGCAAGCAGATGGCATCACACACACACAAGGTTTAAACTAAAATTGGTAAAAAGTACATAGTGACAAATAAATAACAAAAAATGAAGTAATTAAAAGTTGCATGGGAACCAACAAGTACAATATCAGACTATAATCATTATATGCAGCCCCTGCCCAAGCCAATTTTGTGATTAAGACTCCAGTTGTTTTAATAAGTAGTGAACTTAATGGGAAAATCAAATATAGTCCGTGAACACACTGGAGTAGAACAATCAGCGCAAAGGCATTGTTATTGTGATCAGCTCTTGGGCTTCTTGTTGCTAGTATAATGAACTAGCTAACAATCTGCAGAAAATATATTTAGCCAACAATCCTTTTATCTCCTAGTGAACTTTATAATATACTAGAATAAACGTAAAGAAAATTGTATAAGTATATATAGGCTTATATAGAAATAGGTGCGGAAATAACTGTGATTGTCATGACGTAGAGTCTAGAATATAAAGAAAACGCAAACTTACTAGGATTACTTTGTTACAGATTAAATAGAGCCTACCTAAACTTAGTACCCTAGTTCAAATTCCACATCATCAGACGATTCTTCAACTTCAATTCTTTTTTTGGGGATGATCTCATATCGTGCAATATCCAATTGATCACAGCTGACTTGTCTTTCAAAACCTCTATCGCCTCTGGGAAAACTGTGTCCCACGGTTAGATGTGAAGCTATATACGCAACTCGTTTCCTTGAGGATATCGAAACCATACCCAATATTCATCAAATTTTAACAACAAATCAAATATTTTGCTGCATAACAATAGTTTTTATATCAATATGATTGGAAATATCAATATAATTGGAAACTGGAATCTAAATTTAAATAAAAAAAACTCAAACCTTTATACAAAAAACTTACACAAAGTTTAAGACATTCTATTGGTATTTCTTTCAAACGACGTAGCACCTTGACAATTTTTTTATTGTCAATCTCCAACATTATATTCTTTGCTTCCAATCTCCTTAGAGAATTTCATCTATCCCATGATGCACTCCAAGTAAGAGTACTTCATCTCTAGACGTCGCATCAGGAAGTGGCTTTTGGAAAATTTCCAAAATCCTTCCGCAACAATCTCTGAATACTGCCCCACAAGAAGCTTCTTTGGTCCCACCAAGATTTTCCTTAAAAAAACCCAGAAACGTTTAACTTGTACCATTCATCGGGTGGTGCATCCCAAAAACAGACTACTACTGAGCGTTTTAGTGAAGTCACCAGACCACTCTCCAAAACATAAATTTGCTGCTTAAACATGTAATTATAAATACATTCTTTGCTCTTTCTAGGAATCCTGAGGAACCACTACATGAAGTCTACTATCAAGATATATCTAGTCTTGGAAATCCCAGCCACATGCCAATCAGTGTTACCCTTTTTGTACAACCCATAACTTTCTAATATTATCTTGTGCTTATGTTCAAAAAGAAGAAGTTGGATTCAACAAAAATCCAGTTGTTTAATGATCAAACAATATATTTGTTAAAAAAATAAATCTGAATTATATAAAAATTAAAAATTATATATATATATATATATATATATATATTGAACTTACGATTAAACTATAGACACTTTGAAAGTATCCTTCCTTGATAAAAGGTACTGAATTGACGTTTGGAAACTTTCCTTCCTTGATGTAAATGCCACGCACTATACGATGAAGAATTCCTAAGGAGGCAGAATATAAAAACATCATTATAGGCAAAAATATACTACTATTAATTGTTACATCAAACGCAGCAAACCAAGAACAAATCTCGAAACACCATAGAAAAGTAAACACGCTACTGGTTCGACATAAGTTGTGGCTACATCCATGGTGAAGATCCAGCAAAATATTTCACTATGCGAAAATCAGAAGATTACAAGTTTCAGCCACAAACCCTAGTGTAGGCTCTCTATGTGTGCGTGCGCAATTTTAGTGTCTCTAAGAAAATCAAAAACGAAAACGGGATACGAATACGACACGACATAAACACATGAGATCCTAAAAAATTAGGACACGGATACGACAAATAATCAATATATTATATATATACATGATGGTGTACTTTAAGAAATTAAAGTAATATATTTTTTTTCAACCTAATAATAAATAAATAAATATTTGTTTTTTTTAGGAAAAAGAAAGAATGATAGAAAGGGGGTTAAGAGAGAGAGTGTCCACAACATGTCCAAGCT